GTGGGGCTGTTTTGTGTTGTGGGTTGGTTTTCGCTCTGCGGCATTACCCAGGACACTGGTTGTCTGTGGTGAGAGCTGCAGGTGTTTGGATCCCATGGTTTCTGAGGGGTCTTTGCTTGCAGAGGTGCTGGGATTTGGCGTAGAGTCTCTCTGGTGCTGGAGTCTCACTGCAGCGGTAATAAAATGCCAGTGAGTGAGCGGGGACCCACACGCTCTGGTGACAAGGATAGGTTCCTTTGTGTTCCAGGGGGACCGCGCTACGTGGAACAGGCAGCATTCTACTGGCGGGACCCAGTGGTGGGGGGAAACTGACGTCTGTCAGAGCTGCATGTAGCTGCCTCAATCTCCACTTGTTCAAGGTAATTCTTTTAGTTGAGTTGCATGTTGGGGATCAGTTGGTTGGGGGACTTATCCCGTGTAGAGAATTCCAGGAGTTTTCTCCAACACAGGCGCTGAGCTACAAATAAGCAAGTGAAATAACACCAAAGAGCCACTTCCTCTCCCCCAGAGGCTGTCTCCTCTGCACTTGGTCCTAGCAACTCCACCCCATGTTCTCTCCCTTCTCTCTATTTCCTGTGCAGTTGGTTTCCTTGGTGCCCTACCCCCCACTCCATGGATGTGTGCACATCTCCCTCACCCTGCTTCCTCTCCGGAACTGAGATTGCAACAAAGTTTCCATTATAATTTGGCTGAGTTTGGTATGCCACCACAATCTGTGTTTGATTTTATATTAGTAAAAGCTCCTGTTCCAAACTCTAGGTGCCTGAACATTTTATTAATCTCTCTCTCTCTGCCTCGAGACCATCTGCTACTTCTGGGTAAACTTCAGTTCAAATCCCTTCCATTTTAAATGGGGTTACAGGTTTTTTCTTCAGTCACAATAGATACTCAAAATGGGGAAAACTCCCTCCTTCCTTAGTTTTCGAAGACTGGGGTTTTCTTTTCAGTTTCAAGCTGTTCCCATCGTTTCGATGGTTCCTCGTTGTTTTTTCCTGGCATGGACAATGGCTGCTTGCTCAAAGCCAGTCTCCCCTGCTTGGTATGGTAGCCCGTCCTGCTGTCTGCTTCACCCCCCTGTTGTGAGGTGATGCTAAAGTCGTACCACAATTTGAGTACATTTTTCGATATACACAAACATACATTCATAACCCCAGGCTGCGGGAGTACTCCACCTTCATATGCAGTTGGTGCAGGGAGGGTTTGATCTCTCTCTTCGTCACCCAGGTTTTCACCAGCACCTCCTACACTGCCCCATTGTACAAAACCGGCTTAGTTACCCCCCCCTTTCCTCCCTTCTCTCTCCTAGAGAGAATATGCACCCCTTTACACCGACACTCCAGTTCTGAGTCACCCCAGTGGGATTCAGTTACGCCCACTTGGCTGTAATCACCATAATTTAGCAATAATAACTTCTCCTCCATGGTCCGTAGTGCATTTCTGTTCTCTGCCACCCCCACACCTGGTCTGCCTCTTCTCTTGCAGAACAGCTCCATTTTCTCTTTAAATGGGAAATACATCCCAGGTTACTTGTGTTAAATGGAAGCCTCCCCCCCCTGGAAGCCTGCCCAGCACTCAGAACTGCAGCCTGTTAGCTCTGACCCCAGACTTGTGTAGCCCTGTCTCTGTAAGTGGAGACTGCCTGATCTGCTGAGTTTCTTCTGATGCTCCATGAATTGGACGCCCTGCTCCCAACACCAACAGCTGGGCTTCACTCACACGTGGCATGGGAAGGACATCTGAGAGGATCGCCTGCATCAACCTCCATCTTCAGCTTTTTCCCAGGTCCCAGGTGATCTGTTGAATTTCCTTCCCTTACACCGTTTGTTCCTATGTGAATGGAGTTAGTGGAAATTTCCAGTGTTCTTCAGGGCATGCTGGGTCCTTCTTGCAGACCCTTTCTCTTGGCACCTTCAAGCTGCGTTTCCCACTGTGGAGTTGTTACCCACACACTCTAGGGCACCCACCTTTACCCTTCCGTGGGCTCAGGGCGTAACCTGGTTAATTTAGACACCCCCACCCTTTCCTAGGTCCTAGGGCTCAGGGCCACTCTTACCCAGTTCTTAGGGCTCAGGGCGTAATCTTTGGCGGGTTTGCGGGGCCTTTTACCAGTGAACGAGCCTTACGCAGTAATATCCTTAACCTCTGTTTATTAACAGTTACCAGACAGAATACACACGCTAAGCATACAATGCGCACCGCTGCCAATACGGCAGATGAACCTTTCCTGGTGGCCAGTCAGGATCAGGTTGTCCTGGGCTCCTCCAGCTTCTGCGCAGTGTGGTTGGCAGCGTGTTGAGGTCTGGCAGCTCTGATCTTGGAGCTGTGTCCTGGAGTTCCTTTTGGACCCCAGTTTATACAGTGAGTGAAAGTTGGGTTCTGCTTAGCTGTCCCGTAACCAATCATTGTAAACTGAAGTCCTACAAACCGGTATGTCCCCCCAGTCCTAGCCTATTACAAAACAATTCTTTAACCAATCCCATCCCACCATCTTAGTTGATTTAAATATTGTAAAAATTTAGTTACGCAACAAACAGAACCAATGAAAGAACGAGACCGACCCTACAGATAAACCATAGAGAAGTGGGGACCGTAAAGGCCAAACAATAGAAGTAGAGATTTCACAATCACAGCGGTTGATCAGTGATTCCTTGTCAGACAGAATGCTGTCAAACTAAGTTTTTTTTAACCATCTTAACACCTGGTTCTTTCTCTGCTGGTGGTGGGGGCTATTAGGACAGGAGCCTTCGTAACAGCCCGATAGTACATTGTTTTGATGCAGTTTAGATGGAAGGTGAGGATGCTGCTGCTGCTTGCTGTAGAAAAAGGCCTCAGACCTTACAGAGTCACCCAGCGAGGTCACTGGTTTCCTCTCCCTCCCTGGTGGCTCCTTTCAGTGTTTGCCGTTTGGTCAGTGGCTGGGCCTCTGTCCACCTCTCGTCTTTTCTGCCTGCTCCTTCTCCTTTCCCCAGACCTGCTGTGGGTGTGTTGGCCAAATGGCTCCAGATACCTTTCCCTCTGCTCTTCGTACTGCCTCTCCCAGCTGCCACGTTCCTCCACCCTCCTGGGCCTCCCCCACAGCTCTCCCATCTGTGATTTGACTGTACCCCCTTCGCACACCTTCTGCCTGGGCCTCAGTGGCCGTTCTGTGTCCCAGGCGCTGCCTCTTCTCTCTGGTGCTGGCCCTGGGCTTACCCTGCCAGTATCCAGCTCTGTCAGCTCCTCGCTGTGAATTTCTTATGGAGAACTCATGTTTGCCCCTTTGTTCCTCTCTGCAGGGTCTGCCCCCTCGCCTCAGCAGAGCAGCCCTCTACAATCTCTGTGTTCTCGGTTGGTTTCCTGCAGGTGGACTGCGTTAGTTTGTGTGGAGACACTAGTGGCGCTACGGAGATGAAGCTGCAATCTGCCTTTGCGCAGGCTGAGCTCTTCCGGCCGTGTGTGCTCCTCCTGAAGGACATCGAGCTGCTGGGACGAGACCGGGACGGGCTGGGAGAGGACTCCAGAGTCACTGCTACACTAAGGCACCTCCTCCTGGACAGAGATGCGGGATCTAGGTAGGGACCCACCCTGGACACTGCTAGCTTGCACCCGAGGCCCTTCCCCTCTCTGCCTCGGGAATCCCTGGGCAACAACCTCTGCAATGTCTAGGCACTAGCTTCCAGAACATCCCACTGGGCTTTGGGGTAATTTCCCAGGCTTGCTCAGTTTATTTCAAAAAGCCTCCAGGGTTTGCCAGCGGAGCAGCCCTGACGTGTGGGGAATTAGAAGATTTGGCCTCTGGGGCCGAGAGGATCTTGTTTTAGTTCCCTGGGTTGGCTCCGATGAGACATTAAAGCAGATGTAGTGTATCTGGGGTGAGGCAAAGCCAGAGCTGCAGGATATGATGGAAAGCTGGAGCAATGGGACGCTTGTGAGATTGGCGGCAGATAACAGGAGCTGTGGGGCATAGCACAAGGACAGAAGGCGGGGAGGGAAGATGTGATGTCACTGGTGGGGGTCCCTGTGGCTTGTGGGGGGACCTTGCAGGCGCCTGGGGGCAGAGTGGTGTAGGGTTGACCTGGGCAGGTGGAGTAGAAGTAGTCTCCCAAGCTGTACTCAGAACTGCAGCTCTGCCCGGCACGATGAGGCACCTCTTGCAGCAGATTGTGCTGACATGCAAACATACCCGTGCGTGGCAGAGGAGCATTGTGTGGGGATGGTGGCTGTTGTGTGCGGGTTCTCTGCTGTGTGCCTGACGGCTCTTGTTTCTCCGGTGTGTTTGTGTCTCAGCGGTTACCCTGTCCTGGTGGTTGCCACCACATGCCGGCCTCAGGACGTCCTGGCAGACGTGCAGACAGCTTTCCTCCACGAGGTGACGGTCCAAGCCCCATCGGAAGAGCAGCGGAAGGCCATGCTGAGCACGCTCACTGCCAGCCTTCCGTTGGGCAAGGAAGTGAGCCTGGCCAAACTAGCGCGGAGAAGTGCGGTGAGTGTAGCCTGCCTGTGGCATGGGGGGAGGGCGGCCCTGGCACGTGACTAGGCAAAGGAGGCTGTTCTGAGCTCCTCTGACTAGTCCATCAGTCACCACGCTGCAGAAATGATGGCAGCATGAGCCTTGAAAACGGACATAGGTGATGGTCCTCAGGGAGCCTCGATAGAGTTCCCCCGGCAGGCAGCAAATCGCTCGCACGGGTGAGGACAGTTGGGGAGAAGGCAGGCCCCACCCCATGCACTGGCTTGTGGGTCGGGGGGCTGCATCGCGGGAGCAGGCTGTGCAGCATGGCTGGGTTTGTGTTGCTCCTGGAGCCTGACTGTCCTTGGCCTAGCGTTAATGTTAGTGGTTTTTAACCAGGCAACTTCAATGTTGCAGTCATTTAGGTTTTTTTGCATTGAATCTCACTGGGGCGAACTTTCAGAGTGGGTGTTTGTAGACCGGCGTGCAGAATTCTGCACCCACACTTGCCTTTGCGGTTACTGCTGTGTGCTCGCCTGGCTTGTTGGGTGTGGAAATGGGGTGATTACCTATGCCGGGCTAAGCACCCAGGTGCGCGCACACATCTGCGCAGGTACCTCCAGCCTCCCTGTTGGAGAAGGAGGCTGACCTTGGTTCCAGTGTGCACAGTGGCACGGATGCTCTTCACCATTGGACACGGGTTTTGTTTCTATGTTCACAGGGGTTTGTGCTGGGAGATTTCTGCGCTTTGCTGGCCCAAGGCGGCCGGGCAGCTTGCACCAGGATCTTAACCTCAACGTAAGTAGATGGGCCTGTGAGTGATCATCCGTGAACTTGCAGCGTGCCTGCTTGTATCCAGAACATTAATCATTGGGAATGAAAAACTCCATTTCCGCTGGTGGAAAGATACTGTATTGCATCCTCTTTCCTATGGGAGGTGGGAGCACATGCAGTGAATGTGGCTGTGATCGAGACATGGCAAAAACTATGTGGCGGGGGGGGACAAAGTGCAGTGAGGGAGGTGCAGTGACAGTGCTGGTGCAGTGATTGTGGCCATGGTTGAGACAGCGCAGTGAGGGAGATGCAGTGACTAGCAGGAGCGAGGCTGAGACAGTGCCAGGTCTGGGGCAGTGGGGACCGTGCAGGGACTAGCAGGAAGGGGCAGGGGTCGTGGGGACGGCAGGGAGAGAGGTGCTGTTTGTGGTGAATTGAGCGTGTGAAGAGGACAGACGTAGACTTTTCCCCTTCTCTGTGGCCAGTTTCCCAGGGGGGCTGAGTGAGGACGAGGAGAGAGATTTTTGTGCTGCTGGGTTCCCTGTTCTTGCAGAGGATTTGAACGTTGCATTGGATCAACTGCATGAGACTCATTCGCAGGCAGTTGGAGCCCCAAAGGTATGAACCACTGAGCGGGGGGAAAGATACAAGGCTCTGGTATCTGCAGCTTGCCAGGTCAGTTTGAATGGCCCTCACCCCATCCCTCGGGACATAAAGCCACGCTGCAGTAGATAGGCGCCTGATGGTCACTCGCGGAGCCCTGATTAGCAACAGCCATGCGGGGGTCTCTCCCGCACTGCACTCCCCACTCAGAGACCAGCAGGCTGGGTGCCAGGCTGGGATTTCCACTCCATGACTGCCCGGAGTGTCCGCTCTCAAATGAACTCACGCAGGAAAATGACAAAAACACACTATCCCCGGTGGGTGAACACTTTTCACAGAGGGATCTCTCTATACCCGACCTCTCAGTCCTCATCCTCGAAGGAAACCTGCACAACACCTCCGAAGAGGGGCCTGAGAGCTTAGACACTAAAAACCATGGACTGAGCAGAGACACTGGACTTATGGTAGAGGTGGGCAAACTATGGCCCGCGGGCCACATCTGGCCCACGGGCCCCTCCAGCCCAGCCCCTGACCTCCTGGCCCGAGGGGGAGAGCCCCCGGCCCCTCCCCTGCTGTTCCTCCTCCCCCACAGCCTCGTGCAATGCTCTGGGCAGCCGGGCAGCGAGCTCCTGGGGCAGCACAGCTGCAGAGCCTGGGCCTGACCCGGTGCTCTGTGCTGCGCGGTGCGTGGCTGGCTCCAGACGGGCAGCACGGCAGTAGCGCCGCCATCCACCGGTGCTCCTGGCAGCACGGTAAGGGGGCAGGGAGGGTTGGATAGAGGGCAGGGGAGTTCGGAGTGGTGGTCAGAGGGTGGGGGTGTGGATAGGGATCGGGGCAGTCAGAGGGTGGGGAA